CTGGTGGGGGGCTTGGAGGGGCGCTGGGGGGAATTTGGGGGGGCTCTTGGCCTTGTTTTTCCACCTAGGGGTGAGCCTGAGGTGGGGCTTGGGATGGGAAATGGGATTTTGGGGTGTCCTGACCCCTCAGGATCAAGCCCATGATGGGTTTTGGGGTGATAAGAGGAGTTTTGGGGTGCCCTGGCCCCCCAGGGGTAAGACTAAGATGGGTTTTGAGGTGGGAGAAGGGGTTTTGGGGGGCTTTTGGCCTTGTTCTTCCACCTAGGGGTGAGCCTGAGGTGGGATTTTGGGGTGGGAAATGGGGTTTTGGGGGCTCCTGAGCTTGTTCTTCCACCCAGGGTCAAGCCCATGATGGGTTTTAGGGTGAGAAGAGGGGGTTTGGGGTGCCACAACCCTCAGGATTAAACCCATTATGGCTTTTGGAGTACCCTGACCTCATTCTGCCCACCCAGGGGTGGACCTAAGATGGGTTTTGGGGTGAGATGAGGGATTTTGGGGTGTCCTGATCCCCCAGGGGTAAGGCTAAGATGGGTTTTGGGGTGGAAAATGGGGTTTTTGAGTGGCTCCTGAGCTTGTTTTTTCACCTAAGGTCAAGCTCGTGATGGGTTTTGGGGTGAGAGGAGGGGTTTTGGGGTGCCACAACTGCTCAGGGATGACCCTAAGATGGGTTTTGGGGTGAGAGAAGGGGTTTTGGGGTACCCCAGACCTTGTTCCTCCATATGAAGATGGGTTTTGGGGTGAGAGAAGGATTTTGGGGTACCCCAGACCTTGTTCTCCTACCCAGAAGCGAGCTGAAGGTGGGTTTTGGGGTGGGAAATGGGGTTTTTGGGGTACCCCAGACCTTGTCTCCTCACACTTAGGTAAGTTTGAGGGTGAGAGGAGGGTTTTGGGGTGTCCTGATCTCATTTTGCTCACCCAGGGGTGACCCTAAGATGGGTTTTGGAGTGGGAGAAGGGGTTTTGGGGTACTCTGATCTCATTCTGCCCACCCAGGGGTGAACCTAAGATGGGTTTTGGGGTGTCCTGACCATTCTAAGTCAAGCCCATGATGGGTTTTAGGGTGAGAAGGGGATTTTTGGGGTGCCCTGACCTCATTCTACCCACCCAGGGATGACCCTAAGATGGGTTTTGGGGTGGGAAATGGGTTTTCGGGAGGCTTCTGAGCTTGTTCTTCCACCCAGGGTCAAGCCCATGATGGGTTTTCGGGTGCCCTGATCCCTCAGGGGTGAGACAAAGATGGGTTTTGGAGTGAGAGAAGGATTTTGGGGTACCCCAGGACCTTGTTTACCCACTTAAGGTCAAGGCCAGGATGGGTTTTGGGATGAGAAGCCATTTTTGGGGTGCTCAGACCCCCCAGGATCAAGTCCACGATGACTTTTTGGGGTGGGAAAAGGGATTTTGGGGTGTCCTGACCTCATTCTGCCCACCCAGGGGTGAACCCAAGATGGGTTTTGGGTCGAGAAGAGGTGTTTTGGGGTGCCCTGACCCCATTTTTAGCAGGGGTGACCCCAAAACACAGTATGGGGCAGGAGAACATTTTAAGACGTCGTATGGGGTGGGAGGAGCATTTTTGGGGTCTCCCTCACCCTGTTTCCCCCCCAAGGAGGCCCCAAACCGTGGTGGGGGGTGAAGGGGGGGTTTTGGGGTGCCCCTGACCCCTGTTTTTTGGCAGGGGTGAGCCCAAAACGTGGTACGGGGTCCCCTCTTTCGCCGCCGAGCACCTGGAGGAGGTGATGAAGAAGCTGACGCCCGAACTTTTCGAGAGCCAACCCGACCTCCTCCACCAACTCGTCACCCTCATGAACCCCAACACCCTCATGGCCCACGGCGTTCCCGTGAGTATCGACGAGGTTCCCCAGGCCCCCAGAAGTTTCCTTACACCCCAGTTTGCCCCAAAATTTGCCCCCTTTTTGTAGGTGGTGCGGACGAACCAGTGCGCCGGGGAATTCGTCATCACCTTCCCCCGGGCCTACCACAGCGGCTTCAACCAAGGCTACAACTTCGCCGAGGCCGTCAACTTCTGCACTGCTGATTGGGTGAGAAACGCTGAAAATTTGAGGGAGAAACCCCAAAAAGTTAAGAGAGAAACAGGCCAAAAAGATGAGGGAGAAGAGCGAAAATTTGAGGGGGAAACTTTCAAAGTTTGAGGGAGAAACTCAAAAATTTGAGGGAGAGACACGTGAAAATTGAATGGAGAGAACTTTACAAGTTTGAGGGAGAGGACTTTCCAGGTTTGGGGGAGAAACGTGAAGGTTTGGGGGAGAAACGTGAAGGTTTGGGGGAGAAACGTGAAGGTTTGGGGGAGAAACGTGAAGGTTTGGGGGAGAAACACGCTAAAATTTGAGGGGGAGTAACTCCCAAATTTGAGGGGTAGAAATTCCCAAATTTGAGGGAGAAATGCTTCAAAAATTTGAGAGGTAGAAGCAGCAAAACTTGAAGGAGGCAAAGAGCAAAATTTGAGGGGGAAAAGACTTGAAAATTTGAGGGAGAGAAGCATCGAAGATTTGAGGGTTAAACTCTCCCAGAATTTGAGGGAGAGAAACTCGAAAAATTGAGGGAGAAAACCGGCAAAATTTGAGGAGGAGAAATTCTCAAATCTGAGGGAGAAAAACAGCAAAAATTTTAGGAGAAGTTACCAAAATTTGAGGGAGGGAAACACCAAAATTTTAGGAAAGAACGTACCAAAAATTGGAGAAAAGTTTCCAAATTGGAGAGGGAAACGCGTGAAGATTTGAAGGGGAGAAGCACGAAAACTTCAGGGAGAGAAACGCCAAAATTTGAGGAGGAGAAATTCCCAAAATTTGAGGGAGAAAAATTGCAAAATTTGTGGAGGGAGAAACTTGAAAATTTGAAGGAGAAAAATGCCAAAAATTTGAGGGAGAAACGTGCCTGAATTTGAGGGAGACAAATGCACAAGTTTGAGGGAAAAAAATGTGGAAATTTGAGGGAGAAAAGTTCCCGAATCTGAGGGGGGAAAAGTTCCCGAATCTGAGGGGGAAAAGTTCCCGAATCTGAGGGGGAGAAATTCTTAAATTCAAGGGAAACTCCCAAAATTGAGGGAGAAACACACCAGAAATTGGAGGAGAAATTCCCAGATTTGAGGGAGAAAAAGACCAAAAGAAATTGAGGGACAAACGTGAAAATTTAAAGGGAGAAATGGCAAAAATTTGAGGGAGAGAACGTCCAAAATTTGCGGGAGAAACACGTGGAAATTTGTGGGAGAAAAATTGCAAAATTTGAGGGAGGGAAATGTTCCCAAAATTTGAGGGGTGAAATGCCCAAAATTTGCAGGAGGGAAACGTGAAAATTTGAGGGGGAGGAAAATGGCAAAATTTGAGGGGGAGAAATTCCCAAAATTGGAGGGAGAGAAACGTGAAAATTTGAGGGGAATAAAAATGGCAAAGTTTGAGGAAGAAAAATGGCAAAATTTGAGGGGTGAAACGCTCAAAATTTGAGGGAGAGAAACTTGAAAATCTGAGGGAGAAAAATGGCAAAATTTGAGAGAGAAAAACGCCCAAAATTTGCAGGAGGGAAATGTGAAAATTTGCAGGGGGAAACGGCAAAATTTTGAGGGAGAAAAACACCCAAAATTTGAGGAGAAATTCCCAAATTTGAGGGAGAAAAATGGCACAATGTGAGGGACAGAAATGGCAACATTTGAAGGAGAAAAAGTGCGAAGTTTGAGGGAGGGAAACACCAAAATTTGAGGCAGAAAAACTCCGAAATTTGAGGGGGAGAAACTCCCGAAATTTGAGCTGGGAGCTGCTTAGGGATGAGCGGGGATTTTAGGGGTTTGGCTCCTTGGGGTCCATTTTGGGTGGCTAAAGGGGGTGTCCCCCTAAATTTGGGGTCTAAATGGGGGGGCCTCCCTAAATTTAGGACCTAAAAGTGGGTGTCTCCCTAAATTTGGGACCTAAAAGTGGGTGTCCCCCTAAATTAGGGGTCTAAAGGGGTCGTCTCCCTAAATTAGGGGTCCAAAGGGGATGTCCCCTTAAATTTTGGACCTCAAGGGGGAGAGTCCCTAAATTTGGGGTCCCCACAGCTCCCAGATTCCTGATGGATCCTTAGGGATGAGCGAAGATTTTAGGGGTTTGGTTTCTTGGGGTCCATTTTGGGTGGCTAAAGGGGGTGTCCCCCTAAATTTGGGGTCTAAATGGGGAGTCTCCCTAAATTTGGGACCTAAAAGTGGCTGTCTCCCTGAATTTGGGGTCTAAAGGGAGTGTCTTCCTAAATTTGGGACCTAAAGGGGAAGGTCCCTAAATTTGGGGTCCCCACAGCTCCCAGATTCCTGATGGATCCTTAGGGATGAGTGGGGATTTTAGGGGTTTGGCTCCTTGGGGTCCATTTTGGGTGGCTAAAGGGGGTGTCCCCCTAAATTTGGGGACGTCCCCTTAAATTTGGGGGTGTCCCCCACCCCGCAGCTCCCTGCCGGCCGCCAATGCATCGAGCACTACCGCCGCCTGCGCCGCTACTGCGTCTTCTCCCACGAGGAGCTGATCTGCAAGATGGCTGCCTGCCCCGAAAAGCTGGACCTCAACCTCGCCGCCGCCGTCCACAAGGAGATGTTCGTCCTGGTGCAGGAGGAGCGCAAGCTGCGCAAGGCGCTGCTGGAAAAGGTCCGGGAACGCCTCCGTAATTGAAAATGGAGTGTATTTTTTTAGGGGTTTCGTTTTTTGGGGGTCCTTGGGGTGTTGACGGGGTCACAGTCACGACAGGGCTTGTTTATGGAGTTCAAGATAAACCAGCACTTCACAGGATCATGATAGGAGGAGTTGGAAGAGACCCCAAAAGCCCTCCCAGTCCAACCCCTGCAGGGTCACCAGGGCAGGAGCACGGCCAGGGGTTTGGGTGTCTCCACAGAAGGGGACCCCAAAACTTCTCCACAGCCTGGGCCGTGCTCTGGCACCCTCAGTCTCCTCTGCTCTGAAATCAAGAGCCCCAGCTCCCTCAGCAGGAGATGCTCCCCAGGGGTCACTGCTCCAAGTGATAGCGCTCGTACGGTGAGGAAACACGGCAAGGCCGCTGGCTCACCATGGCTGCCGGGTCCACACCTCATCTCTGTGGCCCTGCTGCATCTTTCAAGCACTTCCTGTCCTCCTTGAGCTGAGGGCCCAGAACTGGACCCAAGATTGCAGCTGTGGGCAGAGCAGAGGGGCAGGAGAACCCCTCTGCCCTACAACCACCCTGATTCTCATCCACCCCAGGATGGCGTTGGCCTTCTTGGCTCAGGGGCTCACTGCTGCTCATGGGCACTGCTGCCACCAGCACCCCAGGTCCTTTCCAGCCGCTCATCCCCTTGTAGCATCCATGGGGCCTATTTTACCCAATCCCTCACAATAAATAAATATCTATTTTAATTATCAACCAAAATTAACCAGTACCTATTTTAACTGCTTGAGTTAATCGAAAGAAACACCTCTTTTAGCTGATAAATCAGAATAGATACCTAATTTTATCTACTTTAATTAATCAGGACGTTCCCTTTTAACTCTCCAGCTTAAACAGTTACCCACTTTAACTACTTTTAATCTGTGTTTTATTATGTTTTATATGTCTTATCATGGTCTTATCAGGTCTTATCAGGTCTTATCATGGTTTATCGTGGTCTTAATCATGGTCTGGTCTTATCGTGTTCTTATCAGGTCTTATCAGGTCTTATCAGGTCTTATCGTGGTCTTATTGTGGTGTATCACGTCTTGTCATGGTCTATCAGGTCCTGTCAGGTCTGTTCATGGTCTGTGCATGGTCTGTCATGGTCTATCACATCTTATCAGGTCCTATCAGGTCTTATCATGGTCTATCAGCTCTTATCATGGTTTATCATGGTCTTGCCATGGTATGTTGGGTTTTATCATGCTCTTACCATGGTGTATGGGGTCTTGTCATGGTCTTGCCGTGATATTTCAGGTCTTGTCATGGTATTTCAGGTCTTGTCATGGTCTTACCGTGGTCTATCAGGTCCTATCATGGTATATCATGGTCTATCAGGTCCTATTGTGGCCTTATCAGGTCTTATCGTGGTCTTATCGTGGCGTATCACGTCTTATCATGGTCTTGTGGTGGTCTATCAGGTCCTGTCAGGTCTGTGCATGGTCTGTCATGGCCTATCACATCCTGTCAGGTCTTATCAGGTCCTGTCAGGGTCTTATCAGGTCCTATCAGGTCTTATCATGGTCTATTAGGTCTTGTCATGGTCTATCAGGTCTTGTCATGGTCTATCAGGTCTTGTCATGGTCTATCAGGTCTTGTCATGGTCTATCAGGTCTTGTCATGGTCTATCAGGTCTTGTCATGGTCTATCAGGTCTTGTCATGGTCTATCAGGTCTTGTCATGGTCTATCAGGTCTTGTCATGGTCTATCAGGTCTTGTCATGGTCTATCAGGTCTTGTCATGGTCTATCAGGTCTTGTCATGGTCTATCAGGTCTTGTCATGGTCTATCAGGTCTTGTCATGGTCTATCAGGTCTTGTCATGGTCTATCAGGTCTTGTCATGGTCTATCAGGTCTTGTCATGGTCTATCAGGTCTTGTCATGGTCTATCAGGTCTTGTCATGGTCTATCAGGTCTTGTCATGGTCTATCAGGTCTTGTCATGGTCTATCAGGTCTTGTCATGGTCTATCAGGTCTTGTCATGGTCTTATCATGGTCTTGCCATGGTATGTTGGGTTTTATCATGCTCTTACCGTGGTGTGTGGGGTCTTGTCATGGTCTTATCATGATATTTCAGGTCTTGTCATGGTATATTGGGTCTTGTCATGGTCTTACCGTGGTCTATCACGTCCTATCATGGTATGTAAGGTCCTATTGTGGCCTTATCAGGTCTTATCGTGGTCTTATCGTGGTGTATCACGTCTTATCATGGTCTTGTCATGGTCTATCAGGTCCTGTCAGGTCTGTTCATGGTCTGTGCATGGTCTGTCATGGTCTATCAGGTCTTATCAGGTCGTATCATGGTCTATCAGGTCCTATCAGGTCTTATCATGGTCTTATCATGGTCTTATCATGGTCTTGCCATGGTATGTTTTGTTTTATCATGCTCTTACCATGGCGTTATCAGGTCTTGTCCTGGTCTTATCGTGGTCTGTCAGGTCCTGTCATGGTCTATCGTGTCTTATAATGGTCTTATCAGGCCTTATCGTGGTCTATGATGGTTTAACCGTGGTGTGTCATGGTCTTGTCATGGTCTGTCAGATCCTATCAGGTCCTATCGTGGTCTATCAGGTCCTATCAGATCCTATCATGGTCTTATCATGGTCTGTCAGGTCTTATCACGGTCTTATCATGGTTTATCGTGATCTTACCATGGTATGTCGGGTTTTATCATGCTTTTACTGTGGTATATCAGGTCTTGTCATGGTCTTACCATGGTCTATCAGGTCCTATCATGGTATATCATGGTATATAAGGTCCTATCATGGTCTTTCACGTCTTATTGTGGCCTTATCAGGTCTTATTGTGGTCTATCATGGTCTAACCTTGGGGTGTCATTGTCTGTCATGTCTTACCAGGGTCTTATCAGGGTCTTTCAGGTCTTATCGTGGTCTTATCATAGTCTATCAGGTCTTATCATGGTCTATCAGGTCATATCAGGTCTTATTGTGCTCTTGTCATGGTCTTGCCATGGTATGTTGGGTTTTATCATGCTCTTACCATGGTGTATCGGGTCTTGTCATGGTCTTACCGTGGTCTATCAGGTCCTGTCATGGTCTATCGTGTCTTATAATGGTCTTATCAGGCCTTATCGTGGTCTATCATGGTTTAACCGTGGTGTGTCATGGTCTTGTCATGGTCTGTCAGATCCTATCAGGTCTTATCATGGTCTATCATGGTCTATCAGGTCCTATCATGGTATATCATGGCTTATAAGGTCCTATCATGGTCTTTCGTGTCTTATAATGTCTTATCAGGTTTTATTGTGGTCTATCAGGTCTTGTGGTCTATCATGGTCTTATTGTGGTCTTGCCATGGTATGTTGGGTTTTATCATGCTCTTACCGTGGTATATCAGGTCTTGTCATGGTCTTATTGTGGTATATTGGGTCTTGTCATGGTCTTACCATGGTCTATCAGGTCCTATCATGGTATGTCGTGGTATATAAGGTCCTATCGTGGTCTTTCATGTCTTATAATGGTCTTATCAGGTCTTATCGTGGTCTTATCATGGTCTTATCATGGTATGTTGGGTTTTATCATGCTCTTACCGTGGTATATCAGGTCTTGTCATGGTCTTATTGTGGTATATTGGGTCTTGTCATGGTCTTACCATGGTCTATCAGGTCCTATCATGGTCTATCATGTCTTATAATGGTTTTACCAGGTCTTATCATGGTCTATCATGGTCTAATCGTGGGGTTTCATGGTCTGTCATGTCTTATCATAGTCTTATCATGGTCTATCAGGCCCTGTCAGGGTCTTAACATGGTCTTATCATGGTCTGTTAGGTCTTGTCAGGGTCCTGTCATGGTCTTATCATGTCCTATGAGATCTTATCATGGTCCTATTGTGTCCTATCATGGCCTTATCATGGTCTGTCAGGTCCTGTTGTGGTCTATCAGGTCCTATTGTGATCTAATCGTGGTCTATCATGGTCTAATTGTGGGGTGTCATGGCCTGTCATGTCTTATCAGGGTCTTATCGTGGTCTATCAGGTCTTGTCATGGTCTGTCATGGTCTATCAGGTCCTATCGGGTCCTATCACGGTCTTGTCCTGTTTTTAAGTTATACTGTGTTACATTTTCAATCTCAACGTTCTCTGGGCCGTCCCAAGGGCATCACGGAGGCGGAGCGGGAGGCGTTCGAGCTGCTGCCGGACGACGAGCGGCAGTGCGACAAGTGCAAGACGACGTGTTTCCTGTCGGCCCTCGCCTGCTACGACTGCCCCCAGCGCCTCGTCTGCCTCTACCACATGGACGACCTCTGCAAGTGCCCCCGCAGCAAGCAGTACCTCAGGTCTGGGGGGGGGGCTTTTGGGGAGTTTGGGGGGGTCTGCTTGCTGGTTTGGGGGTGTTTCTGGCCATTCTGGGGGGATTTATGGGCAGGTTGGGGGCGTTTCTGGCCATTTTGGGGGGATTTATTGTGATTTCTTGGGGGTTTCTGGCCATTTGGAGGGAGGTTCTGGTGAGTATAGGGGGGTATCTTGCTGTCTGGGGAGGTTTCTGGCCTTTTTAGGGAGGTTTCTGGTGAGTATAGGGGAGTATCTTGCTGTTTTGGGGGGATTTATTGTGATTTCTGGGGGGATTTGGCTGTTTTG